TTAAATAGCTTTCAAACTGAAATATTTAAGNCAAAGAGGACTTAAATAGCTTTAAAACTGAAATATTTAAGCGAGGAAAGCCAACAGAAAGCCAGCTATTGAAAAATATTTAAAGAAAAAATGTTTTTTAATTACCATAGAACAAACCTTGGGTCAGGTATATGCATTTCTTTTGTATTAAGTTATAAAAAAAATATATAAATAGAAGTGGTAGCCTTCGATAGATATTTCTGTTTAAAATCTATTTAAGTCCTCTTTTATTTGGTACCAAATTTGTTTAATTTGGATAAGCGGTTTGTTTACTATCCGGAAAGACTTTTATTTCGAACTTAAAAAATACCTGGCCAAGTTTAACTGTTGTGAAAAAATAACTGCTATTTACGGTATGTATCGTTAATACTATTTCACATAGTAGCTGAAATGCAAAAAACCACAACTACCAAAATTTTTGTATTGCCTAAAACGATGTAGGGACTTATGATTCGATGAAATGCATCATAATCAATCAAAAAGTAAATTTTGGATTTTTAGTTAGTTACGGCTTTATGTATTTCAGCGACGAAGTGAGTTAAGCCCTTTCCATACTATACTAACGATATATTACATGCCAACTTGGCTGTGTGGCTTGTGAACTTGGCTGTCGACTTATTTACATATAATTTCATCTTTATTTCGATGCGTGCTAATTTTGACAATTTACACAACATTAAAATAAATGTTTTTGTTTTCGAGCTGAAAGACTAATAAAAGGAAACACGGAACTTAAGAATAATAAGTTTTATGAGCAGAAAAAAATTAAACTTTTTTAAGAATAAGTAGAAAAATACTAGCGATGCATCCAGTTTTTTCAACAGACCTTTGACAAATAATATTCGATAGTTACATAATTCTTACTTAATTAAAGGTAATCTTTTAACGCGCAAATAGTCGACTCTCTTTATAGCCAGCCGTTGAACATTTCCGCTGGAAATATCTACTATTATCTTACTATTTGACTTTAAATTACGAAAGAAGGTCGACGTAGGCGACAGTCTAAACCAGGGCTGCCAACTATCCTTAGCTATAAGGTGACATATTGAGGATAAAAAAGTGCCAAAATGTGCCAAATAGAAAAATAAAAGTGCCAAAAATGGTGCCATCCTTTTTCATCCTTCCCATTTAGCAATAAAATAAGAACCACATTTCTAAAACAAAAGTGCAATGCCAAAATAAGATGAACCAGTTTAATAGTCTTTAGAAATTAAAAAATTTTGGTTGAAAAAAGAGGTGCAAAGGATTTCACAAAAATTGATTGAAATATTATTTTTTTTGAAAACTTCCATTTTGGCACTAAGTGCCAAATTGAAATGTTAAGTGCCATTTGATGTAAAAAAGGGCCAAAAATGGCACGGTTTGAGCCAAGTCGGCAGCCCTGGTCTTAACGTATCATCTCCAAAAAAAATTTGGCTAAAATTTTTTGTTTGCCAGATATACGTTTTATCAGTGCTCTTGCACCATATTCGCATTCGCAAAAACTCCGCATTGATTATTGCGAATGCGAATGTTAAAATTTATGCGGAACTTCCGCGGTTGCGAATGCGAATGCGAATATTCGCAACAAACCTGGTACAGAAGAGAAACGACTGGCATGCTTTGTTGAACTCGGCCAAACCCGCTTAGGCGGTTACAGCGCCAAATAAGAAGAAGAAGAGTAGCGGCTACCATTATGAAGCAGACCATTTTTAAAATTCTTAATCGATGCTTCCTGAGCTACTTCCGACAGCCATTCAATCGGAATTTCCAGTTTTTACATTGATTTGCTTCCATGTATCAACATTTTGTGAACAGATGGGGGGCATATTGTACCATTTCTGAACAAAATTTTCTGCTGTTTTCATGGTATACTTACAGTAGGGGAGCCCACGGTACTAAATCGGAATTTACTCGAGCGTCATTTTGACCTATTGAATTTTGAAGATGATATGATGGGAAGAAAAAAAGGGCGTGTGATGTTTTTCCATCCACCGGTGGCTTCCAAAAATGTAAAAAAAAGTTGCATGGATTTACTCGAGCGCGTCAGATATTGATAGTGAATAAATCAAACGTGTTTCTGATGACGGAAATATGCTAATCAGCCGGTTTGCATGGTGGGGTTGGGCGTACGGAAGGGTCAAAAATGGGTGACACAAAAATTTACTCGAGCGCGTCAGATATACACAAGGGATGTTAAATAGGCCCGAATGAACCTGCCATTCAATAATCTGACGATTCTGATGTGACGCAAGCTCGTGGTGTCTTCTTGAAGGTGCAAAAAAAATCGCCATTTGGATTTACTCGAGTGCGTCAGATTTTCATACAGAAGGTTTATCTCGATGCCCATGTCGTCCTGTTCCATAATCTGACGATTATCTGGATCGGATTCTTAATCCGACGGTTTAAAAAAATAACTTCGTTTCTGAGATGCACAGTCAACCAAACATACATTATTGTAAACACTTATTATTTTATCCGTGCAACTATTCTCATACAGCAAGTCCGGTCCGACTTGGTCGTCAATTTATTCTATGTTTTCTAACCGATTTGGGAAATTAAAAATCGTTTTGAAATCAAATTCAAGTCAATACATTTTTGAAATTCCGAGCGTATTGAAATTTGGTTTATGCATCCGCTTTGAATCACAGCGAACTGGGTCAAAGCGCTTAATGTGTCGGTATAAACAATTAGTTAGTAAAGTGTCATGTAACACTACGAGTGCTTTGATCGCCCATGATTGCGTGATACTTTACTAAGATACTATATGAAGAGTGTGCAAGAAGGGAGCGGAGTTTAATATTTTTCATGCAACTTAAGGTTGCCGAATTTAAAATTATCTGAAAAATGCGTGTTTTTCTTACATACAAATTCTTATGCCTAGTGATTTTAGCTGAGAAATGAGTAAAATTCACATACATAAGTTAAAAAAGTTATTTTTAATTGATATGTGCTACTAATTTTTCTTAATATAATTTTAATCTAATACTCCTTCGAGTTACGATTATTTCAATCCTAATTCAAATTATTTTGAAACTGGAATTAAAGTAATTGTAATCGAAGACGCACTTAATGTAGATAAAGGTTTTGATTCGCATATGCACATATTTACATATAAGTGTTTCCATGCAGCCGTACGCGACATTCGTACGCTTATGGAGTAAGATTACGGTTATGTTGTAATCCAAGGGTACTATGTTTTAGAAAAATATAAGCAGCCTCGAAAATGTGGAAAATATCCGTTCAAAACAAAGTAATAACGTACGCGACAAAAAAAAGTGTTTTTAAGGCACATATACATATATGAGAAAGTCTGCGAATCATGGGAGTTTTTCTTTTCATTAAAAATTCCTAATCTACGCTAAATAATATACCTTTACAATACTTCCATTTTTTAATAGAAATTATCTCTGGTTAGTTTTTATTAAAAAAAAAACAACACGACATAACGTAGGCGACAGATTTTTCCCCCATACAATATTTTTACTAGTAACACATACTAAATTCAATTTTTAATTTCATTTTTTCAGTTCTACTCCCCACGGTTTCGCGTTTTCAAAACCTTTTTCCGCCATCTGAATACGAAATTTAAAGTTATAAAGCCGTTTGAATTCATTTGCTTGCATTTTCGGTTTACATTTTCATGGAAAGACCCATATGTACATATACAGCGGTGCAACACACGAGCCTTTAATGAGAGTTTGTTTGGATTAATTCTCACATTTCACTCGCAGCTGGTATCATTTGCGAGCTTTTGGTCCGCTGGGTATACTTACATGATTGTGACAAACAATATGAACGGAAAACAGCAAGCAAATCAAAAAATAAAAAATTTCGTAGAAAAATATGTAGAAGTTTTAAAACCAGCAAGTGCACGCGCTTATCTTTTTTGACGATTTTCGATACTCCGGCATGTGGAAATCGTCAGATTATATACTTTCCGTTATCCTTCAGCTGTTGCTTCAGGTAACATTTTTTTTGCAAGTTTGCGACCCTCCCAATCCCTTGCGTCACGCTCAATTCGTCAGGTTATTGAAATGCACACTTTTCAGCATGTAATCAACCCACCATTTCTTAATCTGACGCTCGAGTAAATTCACCAATCAATTTCTTTTTTACCTCGCTTTTATTAACTCGGGATGTAACTATGTAACATTGATGCGCCTAAAAGATGCAGTGATTTCCATTCTCAAGTTACATACCTGATGACAGTACGAATGAGAATTGCTTTAAACTTCCATTCTTAAAGTAACCTGCTGACAGTACGAATGGAAACTTTAATAGCGGGGTTTTAGTTTTTTAAACTATAATTTTATTACTAATCTGATCAGCTCTCCTATGCGCGCGGTTCTACATAGAAGGCTTAGATTTGGCAGAGGTATTCAACAGGATGCAGGATATCCCCCATATGTTAATCCGACGCGCTCGAGTAAATCCCCGAATCCCCTCTTGGGTTCGCCTACTATTACATTTCGGACTTTGTTGGAACTATTTTCTCTCTACTAAAAGAAACCAGAATTTTGGCAAGGAACCCTGGCTATACAACAGCTGCTAATACATATATATTATTTAGTGGCTCCGTAACTAGGAGTAAATATCCAGAAAGTAGTCCCCAGCCGAATTAAGTTTATTTAAATTTTCTCCAATTATTTAAAGCTACATATGGGGAATGAAGATTTTCGAATTATTCAACAATTTTAAATGACCAGAGAGGGACATTTTCGATTGATTATTTAAAAAGCATATAATTTCATACTGTGGTTCCGAAATTAATGAAAAAATATTTAAGAAATTAAATAAAGCCTCACTGTTTAACATATTTAAAAAGATAATAAATGAATTTTTTGAGCATATTTTTGCTAGTCCTGTTAATGAACAATAACATCTTAACAGCAACAACTTACCCTTATTCCCATTTTATTATCAACACAAGTTATGTATACATACATATTAATACTTTCGTACTTACTACTTAATACTTAAGTACTTACTTGAAAATGTAAAATTATAGTCCAAATAAGTCCAAGTGTCAATTTGGGGTTTCCATCAACAATGTCTTCAGCGCGAATGTTGACCAACTTAATTTTTTTGTATCGAAGAAAATCTAGAGCCATTTGAGCATTTTGCAACATATGAAATCGCATTTTCCCTTTTTCGCGTGGCTAAAAATGAAGTTAAAAAATAAATAATTTTTTAAGAGTTAGATTGTTATTTAAGTTATGTATACGGTAGAAGAATGTATATAAAGGGTGAACACACCAAAACTGCGACACTTTGGGAAGCTTATAACTTACCCAAAACGAATTCAATATTTTGAAATTCAAATACCATAAGTTGACCATGACCTTAGTTGAACGTAGAAGAAATTTCATTTGAATTTGATTCCTAGTTGAGTTAAAAATGGCAACCGAGCTAGAAACGAGACAAACCATTTTGCACGAGTTTATAAATGATCCGGCCTTAAGTACACGTAAAATTGCTAAAAAATTAACAAATAGGGCCTGACAGTTACGAGAAAACCAGGGAGCGGGGGTTAGCATGGTCAAAGTGATAAAAACAGTGCTCGGAAGGTCCTCAGTGCGTTTTCGCGAGGTCCCAAGATTTTGTCGCGTTTTGTTGCAAAATCCGTACGGGGATCGCAGTTTTTCGTACAAAAGGTAAAGCGGAAAGCTTCATTGAGATGTTCTACAGCTCAAACAGCGCCAGACCGAGGCGCAAAGTAGAATGTTACAGCGAAATCCCGCATTCGGAAGTTGTATGAATTCTAAATTAAAAAATACAACTGCATTGTTATGGACTGCGAAACCTACTGCTATAAAACTTCAAAATATATTTTGCAGGTCAAGATTTTTATGCTGCTGCAAGTCGTCAAGATGCCCCTGAAAGTTGTAAGCTGAAAATGAAGTCCAAATTTCCAAAAACCACATGGTTTGGCAAGCTATTTGTTCCTG